ACGACCTATAGAATTTCTGTACTAAGAGAATTATAAACCTGAGGTGACAGCTGTAAGAGCTGAAATAAAGTGAATTTTTAATTTTTTCCCTATTTTTTCGTTGAATTTAGTGTGGCGTTGTTTTTTTCGTGTGTACCTTTATTGTGTAAAAAGATTTAGTGATTTATAAAGCCAATTCGGAGAAATTGGCAATCTGTAATTGTCGGTAATTCCTGTTGGTTTAGGGTCTCCTTAATGTGTCAATACTAATGTTAAATATTTTCATCAAATTTTTTATTGAAAAAAATTTGATGATATCTTTCTATTTGAAAATCTCGTATCTAATCTGAACATCTAACTATTTGAAACTAAGATATACTTAAATGAACTAATGCTTTTATTTAATATAAAATTTTAATTTATGTACATGTTTTTTTTTTATTGAAGAAAATACATTTCATTTCGAACTGAGTCAGAACTTTTACTGACTGATGATTGTGTATATGTAATAATAATAATAATAATAATAATAGTAATAATAATAATAATAATATAAGATAAATATTAATGTATCGAGAATTTTGTTATTCTGAATATTTAAACTACTATATATTATTTGAAATATTTACTATTTATGTATAATGTACGCATATTTTTTATATAATCTTTGTGTATATTATATGTAATAATATAATCTACAAAAAATACAATGTAAAACTATTAAGACTAAAGTGAAAATCCAATCCATATAAAAAATTTTTTAAAGCAAAAAAAAAAAGAATAGCAGGAGAATACTATTGAATAAAAGATCATATATTTGAAATCAAACAAATTTTATCTGATTTAATCTTTTAGTAAACTGAGGGAGACGTTTCTACTTGTCTATTGTTCCAATGCAACAGGATGCATTATTATATTATATTGCACCAGTGCCTTCATGAATATGAATACTTGAACAAGTTCTTATTTTCTGCAATTTTATATAATTATAATAAATAATAATTAATTATAATAAATAATTAATTATTTCTGTCTGTTTAGTATTTACATATTATATAAGTAGTATATGGGCAGACATGGGGTATCAAAACAAATTACCTCCATATCTTCCTCCGGCGCCGTGGGCGTGGCCTGGACGGATCAGTCTGAAAAAAGGGTGCGCTCTGATTGGTCGAGCAGTGAAGGGTAGGAGTAATAGGGTAATTAAATAGTGTTTTGATTGGTTCGCCGTATACTTGACAAAGATCTGATTGGTTCGCGCCGTACCTACTCACGAAGTGATTGGAGAAGAGGAGTGATAGAGGATCTCTGACAAAATGGAGGGTAAAGTTCGAAAAAATGGTAAGTAGAGATTGGGAATGTAATATTTTTTGTCGCAAGGGCAGAGTACGAACACCGGGGCATGAATAGCGGGTGGTTTTATGACGGTCATTTTTTTATTGACGTAGCACAATATCTCCGACGTGTTGGTGTTTTAGTGAATGTTTTTTATGTATGAGAGAGGAGATTTTATGCGAAAATTTGCGAGTCTAGAGGGAGTCTTACTTTTGCTAGAAAGAATAGGAAAGGTAAAACAGGAACGAACATGTTCAACTGATGCGCCGCGTCGTCTCCGGTGTGACGACTCGTTCGAGCGAGAGTATAGTTTTGATGAATTTGTATTGTACTTCTTATACTTTATTTAAAAGTCTATGTTATATATATAACATATAAATATGCAGAAAAAAAATTGGTTATTGGAAGGTACGAGTGATTAAGAAATGAGGATTTATATTATACAAAAATGTATTTATTGATATAAATTCTTTTTTCACGAAGAAGAAATACATAGTTCGCATGAGAATAAACTAAAAAAAGTTTTTAGAATAATTAAGCCGAAGATTCTCGCTTCGAGAGAATTATACGAAAAATTTCGTTATATCTTTAACGAAGTTAATTCCAAAAATATTATATTGAAATACATATCAAGAAAAGTTAAGTCGTTAATTTGTGTACGTACATTACGCTCTATATCTTTGTAATTACCTCACAACGTTAATTTCATAATTTCCTGATTAATAAAACTTGCAGGTAATTTCAGTTCGATTTCTTGAATTAAATATAGAACGCACTTGTTAACATTATCGGATAAAGGTTCTGATTGTTTTAAACGCGCATCGACGCACTTTACAATGCTTTGCAGTCCGAGGAAGGTAGTTTTCTGCATTACAATTGCTGCTATATAGGTTCTTCGTTTCTTTGCCGGTGGAATTGAATCGAGCGCATTCTCTTTTTTCGAAGATTTTCGTTGGAATTTTCCTCTTCTTCTTTATATATTAGCAGTATTGATTCTGCCCTGTAAGATGTGATAAAGCTAATGGTGATATTTTTTAAAAACAAAGTTAGGTTTTATTTTGTTATCGTTGTTTAAATATTCATTCATGAATCCCATGTGATGTTAAAACTGTTGCCAGCAGTCGGTGTCAAAATAAATTCCTTCTGCGTTATGTCCGCTCAATTTCACAAGAGGTTTGAAGATTTTTTTCGTTCGTTCTTTGCAATCCTACGTGAATTGTCTTCGTATAAGAATTGTTAAGATCATACGTTGTTGCTAACAACATATGAAATCGAGCGTTTCTTCTCTCGTCGTCATTGTTACGTATCTTGAAAGAATTGGAGATGGAATACATTCCCATGTCCGAATTATTAGTATTTTTTGGACTGGCCATTGTTCTTACGCAATAATACCAAATTCAAGTGAACCAAGATGGCAATCAAAAACACAAGAAGCACAATACTTGTTTGCTCGCGAAACTGAAGCTGCGGACGACGAGACTCGAATGAAACGGATTTTCGATAGTACCGTCGACATCGCCTCGCTCTCCGGTACGTAATAAAATTATTCTGCGCGCGCAGATGAAAAAATGAAAAAACATAAATCTTCTCTAAATTTTTTTTTAATTTAAAAATAATCTATACCCCACAGAAGTCAAGAGGAGAGAGAAGTGAGATAAAACGAGAACGAACAGGAACAAACAGGACTGAAACAGACTGTTTTACGATTCCTCTCCTGCTTTTTTTATAACATGACAGGAGAAGGAATTTGACCAGCTGAAAGCAGAAAATTTTTTCGCAATAAATCATAAGGAAAAAAGAATTGGTTTAGCTCGTAAGTTTCTAACGAATAAAAATTAGTACATCAATTAACCATTGAGTTTTTTTTTTAAAACAAAAAGAAATTTATGCGTTTTTTATTTAAAATAAATTTACGATTGGGTTTATTGCTTTTTCAGAAAATTCATTAATGTTTAAAGTGACAGAGGTACGACAAAAAAAATGTTGAATTGAGTTGGGTAATGATAATGCAGGAAAATTTATTTGTCTTGCTTTTTTCTGAAACTTTTATATATACTCCCAAGAGAAAAAATAATTTGTAATAACGGAAATTTATAGAATACAAAAATTAAATATTAGTTATATTGATAAACATGAAAGTTTTAAACGAAGCGAGTTATATTCAATGTTGACTATGATTTTTTCCTTATGACGAGGCAAATCCTGAAAAAGAGAAAATTAACAAAAACTAAATGATATTGCTGGTCAAGCGAGATATAGCAATTTTCATTAAAATTGTATTTTTTCTTTTGTTGAAAGGTTTATTGTTTATCAGTCGTAGACTCATATTGCGTGAGAATCCTTTAAAAGAAGATACAAAAAAAAACAGAAGGAGAAATTTAAAACGTGAGATTCACTGTAACAATAAAAATTTTAGAGTGTGACAAAAACTTTTCTGGATAATAATGAAAACGAGAGCTAAAGGTTTTAGGGTAAATACGAAGCGATGCTTTTCAAAATAATTTTTGTGGGGGAGAAACGGAGCTAGATCAGATATGGGGATGGTCATAACTAAGAAGTTGTCTCCTATTTCTCTAAATTTTACGAGAAAATCACTTCTAGTAAAGCGACCAATTACCAAAATTGTTAAAATCTATCGACCAACGAAGGGACTAGAAACTTTTAGCGATTCTTTTAGGGGAGAGGAATTTTATGAATACCGCTACAAGCATATATAGCACGCACTGATCAAGCTAAAGTTTAGTCCTGTGTTCAGACTCTGAAGTGGATTGATTTTACGTTGACTATTTGAGCGTTGTAACACAAAGTTCCATTTTTTAAATATGAATTTAATTTCATATTTGAGTTACTCACCAAATTTTCCATTGTTGCTAGCAATCTGAATAAAAAATTAGTTGATGTTGATTATCTGGTAAAGTTGTCAGATAATGGCAAAAAAAATTATTCCGTTTTCGGAAATTTTGTGAGTGAATGCTCCAGCGCATGAGTGTGCATTATTCACAAACTTGGGCATTGCAGTGATGACGAGAGACGAAAAAATATAATCGCTCGTCATCTAGAAATACGCGAATGTTTTGGTCATGAGGAGGATGACGCAACAGGTCACATAGCTGACTTCAAATGACGCACTGGACTAAGAGGTAAGCAGTAATAATTTCTAAAATAAAATCTAATATATATTAGCATTAAAAGTTTACTTTATAAATTATAATATTAAATTATTAATAAATAAGTAAATACTTAATAAATAAATAAGTTAAATTATTATAAAAAGTAATATACTATTAAATTATAATATTTATTTCATAGAAGCGAACTCTGTATTATAGGACGAGCGATACCGCGTCACAGAGGATGTCCAATAGGACAACTTAGTTTAAGGCGACGTCACTTTGTGAGAGAAAAAGAGAAGGGAATAAGTTTTGGGGAAATAAATATTAACTAAACGTTTATAGAAATCTCGATATTAAAATATTTTATTTTTTTCTAGGAAGAGCACGAATTGAACCGGAAAATAATGTTCCGCCTCCGCGTGACATTCCTGTCATCAATTGGTAAGTATATTTTACAAATAACCGAGAAATCTAATTCATATAATATAGATATAAAGCGATAAAGAATAAAATCAATTTTGTTTTAGATGTGATGATGATGATGACGAAAACAATGATCGGAATGATGATTTGAGTCTGTCTAATTTGATTCGAGCACTGGTCTCTCCAGGTTTCACCATTTCTATAATGTGTAAGTTCTTAAAAAAAAACATAAATTAGTCGAATATAGAGAGTTGGTTATATATATTAGGTTGTTCGGAAAGTAATTTCGTTTTTTCTTATGAAAATGAAAGACGATTTTCAATCAGATGCGTTTCAAATGATCATGAACGGTCGAATTTGATAAATTTAATCTCTCAGCGATCTCACGAGTTGTTATTCGCCGGTTTGCATCAATTAATGTCTTTATTGTGTCTTCATCAGCTTCAATTGGCCTTCCAGAACGTGGTGCATCTTCAACATCAAAATTGCCGGATCGAAATTTTGCAAACCAGTTTTGGCACTGGCGTTCTGTCAATACATCTTCTCCATACACATCGGATAATTTTTTCTTGCTTAAACAGCACCTTTTTTTACCTTTTCGATAAAAGTAAAAAAGTAAAATATGCCGAAAATGCTGCTTTTCACTTTCATATTTGATAAGACACCAACCAAAAACTATTGCGTAGAATCAATCGAACTTTTTTCACAAGCAAGTCTTGCTATATCAGCTGTCAAAATATATAATGATTATGCGGCTCAAGTGTGAAGTTGGCTGTGAAAAAATACAATAAGTTCTCTGTTGGGAAAAAACGAAATTACTTTCCGAATAACCTAATAGAATTCAAAAGTAATAATAATAACAAAAATTACTTTTTAGCGCAGGAAATCGAACAAGAGCGGAAGGAACTAACGCAGGAAGAAGAGATGTGGAGTCTGAAGAGAAGGAGGAGGAGAATAATGAGAACATTGACGATGACAATGTCGATGATGGTGTCGATGATGATGATAATAATGATGATGCCGATGATAATGAGGAGCAGGACAACGCAAATGTTGAGGATAGCCTTGATGACAATGGCGATGATGGGAAGGAGGAGGAAATACGTGACGAGGAAGAAATAACTCAGGAGACAATAGAGAAAGAAGAAAACATATTACACATCTCTTGAAAATGAAAGTAATAATATTTTTATTTTTTATTTTAAATTTATTTTTTTATTTTTGTTGCTCGAGATACTTAAGCAGATATTTTGTATCAGATATTTCGTACTCCCCTGTTCTGCTTATGTCGCCGGAATATTAAAATTTACAAAAAAAGAAAAACATCTTCCTACGCATGATCAAGTAAACAACTATAGGTGAGTTATCTTGTCATGCTGTAATGTTACGATCAGTAGTATAAGTTTCTGATTTAATATATATAATAATATATGTTATCAGATTAATAAGGTTTGTTTAACTTTTTTTACAGTACAAACTGGCGGTGGTGCTGACTATCCTACATCGCGACATGCAAGGGAAGAAAATGTGCCCTTGGAAGAAGAATCCTCGCAAAATTTCGAGAACTCCATCGATAATAAACATTAGCAGCAGCAACAGCAATGACAATAGACGCATCATCATCAGGAGGAAAATAATCATTACAGGCAGGATTATCATCGTTAATAGGAGATTAGAGATAATTCGCTTTTATTGAGTTAAGGCAGAAAACTCGCGTCGATTTAGGAATTTTGCGATACTAGGGAGGGAGGCAACTTTTACAATACGTCCGCCACCCGAAGGTACCGATATCGTTCGTTGGATAGAAAGCGCGTTCCGTGAAATTCGGGCGCTACATTCGTGCGAACCTTATGTAGAATTATCGTTCAAGCGCGTGGTCCGTCTGGTCGTTTCGTTCAGCACGCGACTTAACTCACGAGGACATAAGGCAACTCGTGAGTTCGCTAGCGCAAAGTGCTGAAGGATTCGATATCGCAGAAAATTTTACCGTGCGCGTTTTCAAAGTCTCCGTATCTGCCGATCGCGGGCGTCAATCTAATCGATTAATTCGCGAAGATGTAGCCAAACGCTCAATTTTGCAAATAAACAACATAGACAATTTGTATTTTCCCCGTTCGCTCGTAGTGACATACACCAAGAGCGTGGGCAACTGCGTATGCAAGAAAGATGGGAATTCGTGAGATACCAGCGTTTTTCGTTACAGCATAATTTGGCCGAAGAATTAACGAAATCCGTTGGTATCACGATTCTTGAGGAAGGTTGTTTCGCGAAACTGAGCAATTCCCATGGATTCTTGCTTCCGAAAATATTACAATTATAATTTCAGTACTTTCGGTCGAGGCGAGAATCTGATGTACGCCGGCATTATTTTCCTCCCTAGGTCGCGAAAGGTCGAAATGTCGAGCTCCCTCGTGTCGTTTAAATATAATGTATTACGAGAGTTTGCGACATTATAACTCTATATTAAATTTAAAAGCCGCCGCCGGTTCTCGCGGTTCTTATGTAGCGTGCAACGTAAGCTTTCGTAACGACAGAGGTTATTGATGCACAAAAAAATGCCCACGCTGCTACGCCATCCCGTCTTGCGAACGCCTCGACGTTAGTTGATTAAATGCGATTCGTGCGTTCGCGTCTTCTTCGGGCGCCCGTGTTTCGAATGTAGGAAATCATCAAGCGCAGGAATCATATAATCAATCCCTCGCAAGCGTTTGCGAATCTATTAAAATTTGCAACGGTTGCGGGCGATTGATTAATTTAAAATCGCGACACGATTGCGATGTAGTTTATTGCAAAATTTGTCGTTCGTTACAGTCTTCAAATCATTTGTGTTACATACGACAACCTCTTGCAAACAAATACGAATGATATCGAAGATACGGATGAATGTGTTAAAAGAGATCGCGTCGCATTCACATTTTATGATTTCGAAATGTGATAAGACGAGACGCTCGAAGGAATGGAGAACGTAAGAATTTACGTTCCAACTCTCTGCGTTGCATAACAAATTTGCGAAGCGTGCGCGGGAATAGAGGCCATGTCGTTGATGTGAAGTGCGCGAATTCATATTTAGTAGAGATCCTGTAAAAGAGTTTGTCGATTTCGCGACACAAACATCTAAATATTTAAAAAAATCATCTGTATCGCGCATAATGCTAAAACATTTGGCGTTCAGTTTATTTTAAAGTACTTCGTTGAAAAGTCAAGAATAACGGAAGAATGGGTGATTTTGAACGGGATGAAAATTATCGTTATACGATTTGTCATACAAAATTTATTGATAATTCAAATTATATAACTATGCGTTTATCCCATTTATCCAAGGCTTTTGAGCTGCGGGATACTTTGGATAAAAGTTTTTTTCCTCATTTGTTTAATACGCTGCAAAATCAAAATTATATTGGACCAAAATACCTGACGATATTATTCGTCCGAACAAATGAAACCCGAGGAACACGAGCGTTTTATGGTTTAGCACGAGGAAATATCGCGATCGATATTCGTTTTGATTTAAAACAAGAAATAGTAAAGTATTGTCGAAATGACATAGGTATCCTTTGACGTGCGTACATGGCATTCAGAAAAATCTTTTTAGAACGCGAAGACGTGTGTCCGTTCGTAGAATGTACTATCGCTTCCACCTGTATGAAAGTTTTTTACAAAAACTTTTTACGCGAGGAAGAAATAAGAATCATACTACCTAGGATATAGACAATCACTCGCACAAAGCACTGTGGTTAGTGTGGATGGAGCGTGAACTTGGACATCCTATAATCCATGCAGGGTGAGGCCGCGAGTATCGAATTGCCGATACGCCCGTCGACGTATATTACGAAGTCAAATCAGCGAATGAGACGTTACGTTACGTGTTACAATTTCACGGTTGTTTTTGGCACGGTTGTCTCAACTATTACCAAATCAATTGTGAAAGGAAACTTGTGTCCGGTATGTCACGCGAAGATACAATCGACGCTCGATACGAACGAACTCTTGCAATGACATAACGTCTTCGACAACGTGGATATAGGGTGATGGAGAAATAGGAGTATGAATTTGTATGAGAAAATCGCGAAATGCACAATTTTCTCGAAAACCATCCAATGTTAATCAACTCTCCTCTCGACTCTCGTGAGGCACTCTTGTGGACGTACGGAAAATATCGTAACCCGATACGAAGTTACGGGGAGAAATACGTTATGTGGATGTGTGTTCTCTGTATCCGTACGTATTGAAAACGAGTACTTTTCTGTTAAGCCAGCCTACGATTTATATCGAAGAACAATGTTCGGAATTAATTGGCGTAGCTCCGAATTTTAATTTTGATTCTGTCGAGGGTATCAATTGGTGCACAGTACTTCCTCCACGTGATCCCTTCCACCCTGCAGTATCGTACAAGGCAAATTGTTGTTTGGGCTGTGTCGTAGTTGCTGCGAAATGTTCTCGCAGGCCGAGTACACTCACGCTCTCCCCGCCGATCATAAATTTGTAGATGCATGGATATCTTGCAAATTGCGCAAAATTTTCGAGAAAGGTTATCTCGTGACGAGTGTGAGCGAAATATGGCAATTTAGAGTCACACGAGTTCGATCCTTGTACGAGGCAAGATGGTTTGTTTGTCGTATATATAAACAGTTTTTTGAAATTAAAGCAGGAAGCTAGCGAATGTCTGGATGACGAGAGTAAGGAAGTACCTTTGGAAATGCGAAAACTGAGGGTATTGTTCTCGATAGAAATAATATTGTCCGAAATCCTAGTTTACGTTCGATCGCAAAGCTTCTGTCTGCTTAAATTCTTTCTGGGATAAATTCGGCCAACGAACCAATTTGCTTAATACAGAGATCGTAACAAAATATGAACGGCAACATTGCTCACGAGTTCAGAACATGAAATAATCAATATATTACCTGTCAACGACGAGATAATATATGTTTCATAGTGATTACGCGAAGAGACGGTCGCACCTTCTCCGCAAACCAACCTTGTAATCGCGGCATGGACGACGTCACAAGCGCAGCTGATATTATACGAATATCTAGAGAAATTAGGTAGTCGCATTTTATATTGTGATTCAGACTCGTGTATTTACGTAAACAGAGGCGAACCGAGCGAGTACGAGCCGCATACGGGGAATTTTCTGGGCAATATGACGGACGAACTCGAGAGCTACGGATGAGTCATTCGTGTCCGAAATTATATGCGTACGTTGTTCGTACCGGAAAATTGTCGACACGAGATTTGTAAAGGAATAACATTAAGTTATAAGAATTCTCGAATTATAAATTTTAATTTTATTAGGAAATTAATAATGGATAATGAGAGAGAGAAAGGCGCAAAGAAGAAGAAGAAGAAGAAACGGAAGGGGCAGCGATAAATTTGTGTTTTAGCGCAATCCGACGCACCGCGTTTCACGAAATCGTAACGCGAAACGAAACAAAGACATGCGCACTGGTATTGGTAAAACGCAAATTTATTAATAATCATTATTTCCTTCCTTTCAGGAAAAAATAACTTCTTTTTTTTCTTTCTCTCACTTATATATTTTAAGTTTGCGAGTTTTCCGCCTATTTGCATAGTATTTAAGTGTTATGTAAGAAAAAACTTGAATTTAAGTTTTTTTTTGTAAATAATAAAATATAAGTATCTCTCTTTTGTACACAAAACATTTTTATTAGAATTTTATTGAACGATTTAATGTAAAAATGTAAAAATATTAGGCCAATCAAAAATTCCATTCATTTAGCGGCGAGTAGCTCTAGCTAGAACTGTCGATAACTTTAATGTCTAAACCAAGCTTAATCTGTCAATAAAATTCAGTATATAAAAGTATACGTTTGCGTCAATAATATTGCTTTTTACTGCATCGAAAATGTCATTTGAGCCAAATAAGCGTCATTTGCGCGAAGTGTTAATCTTTTGCTTCAAATGGAAGAAAATTGCAGCTGAAGCTCATCGAATGCTTGTAGAAGTTTATGATGATAGTTCTCCTTCCGATAAAACATGCAGAGAATGGTTTCGACGTTTTAAAAGTGGTGATTTTGATGTGGAGGACAAAGAGCGTTCTGGACGGCCAAGAATCTTTAAAGACGAAGAATTGCAAGCATTGGTGGATGAAAACCCATGTCAAATGCAAAAACAACTTGCAGAAGCATTAAATTGTGCTCAATCTCTTATTATCAATCGTTTGAAAGCCTTGGGAAAGGTCTACTAAAGGAAGGAAAATGGGTCCCATATGAACTGAAGCCAAGAGATATTGAAAGGCGAAAAACCATCTGCGAAATTCTGCTTGCTAGGAAACAAAGAAAGGGGTTTTTGCATCGAATCGTGATGGCGATGAAAAGTGGATCTATTTCGATATCCCAAACACCGAAAAACCATTTGCGATCCAGGCCAACCATCGTCATCGACGCCAAAGCGGAATATCCACGGAAACATGGTGCTCTGTATTTGGTGGAATCAGAAGGGTGTAGTGTACCACGAGTTATTGAAATCTGGTCAAACAGTCACAGGGGATCTCTGCCGAGAACAAATTATCCATTTGAGCCGAGCATTGCACGGAAAACGACCAGAATATGAAACAAGACAACATAAAGTAATTTTGCTTCATGACAACGCTCGGCCTCATGTCACAAAACTTGTCAAGGAAATGTTAGAAACATTTCGCTGAAAAGTGCTACTATATGCGGCTTATTCACCAGACTGTGCCCCTTCCTACTATCACTTTTCGATCGATGGCACACGCATTTGCAGAGGAACACTTCAATGCTTATGAAGACGTCGAAAAATGGATCTCTGAGTGGATAGTCTCCAAAGATGAGTCATTCTTTCGCCGCGGAATTCGCTTACTGCTCGAAAGATGGGAAAAAGTCATC